ACACACACACACACAGTTACTTCTTAACACTTCTCTAAGGCAGAATATCATATCATCATCTTATGTTATCGCCCTCCATCTGTCTTGAGTACATTCAAAGTCTAGATCAGCTGTAAATTCAAATGCTGTGAACTACTGTCTGTTTACTATAGAACAATAACACAGAATATTCTCTCCCACCATGCTGACATGTGTTCCATATGTTTTCCAGCTCTGGAAACTGTGGACAGAAGCAGATAAACACATTTGTGACATGAAAATCTGTGAAAACCACTGGGAACCATTTTATTCTCTCTAAAAGAAGATAGGAAAGGAACATGCTTGTAAAGAATAGTTCATGCATATCAGTATCTTGTGAGAATTGTGGGTATTTATCCTCAAAAACATTGCTCAAGCTGAAGCTACCTGTGGTTGAAGTGCACAAACATATATTTTAACTTTCAATCCAATTTCGGTCTTGTGTAGTGTTAAATTAAATGTTTAAAATCCCTTTTTCATATCGATACATCAACCACTTTTACTTTTTTAAATGGAAACTCCTCCTTTCCCTTCAGGTGTTGGTGCTATCTCTCATGACCGTGGAGCTGTTTGGTTTCATGGGGCTGATGGAAATCAAGCTGAGCGCTGTCCCGGTGGTGATCCTCATCGCTTCTGTGGGCATCGGAGTGGAGTTCACCGTCCATGTGGCGCTGGTAGGCACAAACACCCTCAATGACACAAAGAACAAAGAATAAAATAACTTCATCAGTAATTACACAAATTTAAGACAGTCTTCTTTGTTTGAGTCATATTTTAAGTCTATGTATTGTATATTATCTATGTGTTTTGTAGGCGTTCCTGACTGCCATAGGGGATCGTCACAAGCGGGCCGTGCTGGCACTGGAGCACATGTTTGCTCCAGTGCTTGATGGAGCTTTTTCCACATTATTGGGTGTCCTGATGCTTGCAGGCTCTGAGTTCGACTTTATCGTCAGGTGAGTACAAATCGAACCTTGTGAGAAAATGCTACATTAATTCTGCCGACACAGGATTGCGCTCACAAAGGTTATTTTGTGGCGTCTGTGTGGCGTTAGTAGACCGTTGAGACCATGCCTCAACCTGTATGTCACACAGTAATCTACCTGAGACACAAATCATGCATGAAGGCCGCACTCTTCCTCCATTCCCTCCCTCTATCTCCCTCTTGTCTTCCACCCATATCTCCATTTCATACCCCCTCTCTGTAAACCTCATCCATTTTCCCGCCACCGCCGACGTACCTGTTTTTTGTCCACTTCTTCAGGCTCGATCTCCGAGAAAACTTCATAAGCAAGGCCTTTATCTTTCCCCACCTTCTTCTCCCCTTGTGTCTTTTCTCCCCTCCACTCCCCTTAATGCCTCTCATGCCTGACATTTTAGGGGAAACTAGGGGAAGGATGGAGAGTTGAAGGTCGGGAGGAAAAGGGAGGAGGAGGGCTTGGGGGGAGTTGACGACTAAGAAAAGGGGAGCGGACTGAAAAGAGTGATGGGGAGACAGAGAGGGAGAGGGGGTAAAGAAAGAGAACAGGAAAGTCCTCTGGCTTTTGTAATCTCCTTCAGCTAGTTTAACTGCCCTCGCTAGACATTTATAAGCATGGGAAGGGGTAACAGGGTGGGGGGCAGTCGTGGAAAGACATGAGAAGTGGAAATTAAAGCCGACACACTGTGGGGGCTCTGCGTCGGTGGCTATGTTTGTGTGTGTCTGTTTGTGTGTGTGTTTGTGTGCGTGCTCTCTTAAGACAAGGGCAGAAAGGTAACAACCAGCTGCCCCTTATGGGAGGAAAATTAATGATTGTGTACATTCTGGAGAGTTATGAGAAGTTTCCACTGAGCTCAATGAATAATTTAGAGTCTCTTGTGGTCTCACGTGGCTCCACATGCACACATTGTTGTTCGAGACTATACGAGGTAGCTTTATAATTACTTTGACCTGCTCCTTTAAGAACAGGGTGCACTGAAATACATGTGATCTGCAAGAGCACAAACTCTGTCATGTGCATAGGCCTCTTATATGCACACACACACACAC